CTATTGACGCTAGCGACAAACTTTTACACAGAAATTATAGATCTCGTCATCCTCTACAAGAAAGGTTGTATACAATTTTCCCGTAGATTCAACGGTTTAGGAGTAATTAAGGAAAAATTAAATTTTCTTCCAAAAGTTCGCCGTTTCGACGCTGGGATGGTCGGATTTCGTCAACATCAATAAAATGCCAAATAATCATACGTAACTCGTTAAATATCGAAATTAGAAGGAAAACAACTTTTATTTGAAGCATTTTTCGCAATTTTGAAAGAAAAATAAATTTCGTCAGCGTCAATACTTAATTGGATATTTCCTTCTATACTTTTTAGCACGTAGCTATTTATTATTAGCATTATTCTTCCGACGTCTGATTTCTTTTTAATTGTAGGAAATGCGTTTTTCTAAGGTACATAAACTTTTGGGATTAACTATATAGCCAATACATCCTTAAGCAATTTCATTGATCTCGTGCGATCTACAGACTTTAGTTTCTTTTTTGTATCTGAAGATATTAAACAGATATCGATCAGTGCAGAATATAATTTGTTACTTTCTGCTTTCTCTCTTGCCTCCGCTCTGTGACCCCCCTTAACTACCCTAAATAATTTCACACACCCTAGCGAACTGTATGATGTCAGCAGTGGACGCACTTTTTTTTTGGCGTCTCGGGAGATAGCGCATAACTTGGCCTCTTTTAGTTATTCTTGTACGAAAAAATTATTTTACACAGTTCATTTATAGGCAAATACATCCATAAAGTTTAAAAAAATTCCATAGAATACTTTTCTTAAAAAAAAATTCCGAAAATGACCTAAATTTTAGGCTGTCACACTGGGAAGGTCCCATAAGCGGTGAACGGTACGCGACACGTTGGGGTTCAAATAGTTGGAAAGTCGATGCACGATGGTACCCTGATGCAAATTCTTGGAAAGTTTTCCAACTTCCTGGCTTATCTTCCATCTGGCTGGCAGGATTATTATCGGTCGGGCGTGGGAGAATCGCGCGAGTTTTACGAGTGCAACGACGTCGATGTCACGCATTCGCGAGGAGGACGCATCTGCCCGAGCGTACCCTTTCTTGTGCATGTGCGATGCGAGTACGTGGAAAGAAATTGATGTTGACACATCCTTCCAATTGTCCAGTCATCCACTTGTTAACCCTCCGTCCTACCATTTTCTCTTTCATTTTTCTTAAACCATCGCTCATAGCGAGTCCGTTAAGGCGTCTCATGCCTCGAAAGTTCGATCGAGGCTTTCATTTAATTACAATTCTAATACGAATTGTACGCCAATTGCTCGTTCTTGCTCAACCTGTTGCCCTAATTAACTCGTTTGCTTCCGCTGATACGCAGTTAGTTACATCACGCTTATTGCTTTCGTTGGTCGTAGAATAAAGAGCATCTTCATGTAAAACGTTTCTATTTAGATAGTCAGAATTAAAATAGACTTTTTACGTTTTGTCGTCGACTTCCTGTTTAGAACGCGCAAAGGACAGACCGTAGTATTCGCATAACTGACGTAACGTTTCGCGATCGGCCAAGAAATAATAGGAATAAAAAGTGCGCGGGAGTACGAGAGCGAGAGAGAGAAAGAGAGCAAGGGGAGATACGTGTCTCTCGACGTGTTTTTATCCGGCGTGAAGCTGTCACGGGGGTTTTATGTGTTTATTTATCTCTCCACTCTCTCGACACGCCACGAACATGTATCGAGAGATGCAGAGTAGTATATGCTCCTACACGCTGCCGATTGGAAGTCGCGTTCTCCTTTAACCCCATCGCTCCTTTCTTTTTTGGCAACGCGTTCCGCGACAACCGGTCCGCGATCGTTCCCCGGGGATCCTCGGGACAGGATGAATCCTCCGGGAAGCCCCGAGCTCCCTCTAATTGCGTGTACCGTTCCGACACTCAAATCCGCTTTCTCACTTCCAAATGTCGTCCCACATCGAACGAAACATTTTCGTCAGACCGATTGATGCAGTGCGGATTGGATATGCTCAAAGTGTCGATACAAATCGGTTGCGCAACGTCGCGTTCCAATTTCCAACTGATAGACAGGCGAAATTGCAATTGCATTGCGTTGAATAGAAAGGATTTACGCGTCGGACTCGCGTCGGTCTCTCGCGTATTACAACGAGCAGAGGCCAGAGGCTACAGACATTATATTTCACGGTCCTTAACCGATGCCGGACTGAAATTACCTTAACGATGCCTCATTGCGACTACCAGAAGGGTAGTCGAACCAAACGAACCTTTTATGATTCATGATTTATCGAAGGAGCCAGCCTAGTTCCGCACACGGTCGTCGGAGATGAGCGATTCGCGGCGTGGATCAGAGATCCAAAATCAATTATATCTTTCATTGATTTAGTATTTCGTCGTGAACGAACGGGTTCTAAGAATAATTGATCCGTACTCGGCGCGCTTTAAATCGTCGTATCAGAATAAACAGCCGTTCTACCGAAACGACAGCTTCCGATCGACGATAAACTCGGAGCTTGTCTAGCGCGTTAGCGTTGCGCGACATAAATATCGAGGCTGGTTCTTAGCGTGCACTCGTTATTGCACCGTGCGTGTAAAAACCCTCGACGCCTGTGGGGCAGGGGCAAAAAAAATGGCACGATTTATGAGGTATCAATTAACCCGGTATTATTCGTACCCTTGCATGTACAACGTTTCCCAACCACTTTGGTTTACAAGAGCAATGTTCGAAAGATAATCTGCATAAGAGCAATTGCTGTTTAAAAATGCCGACTCCCTTCCTTCGGGGCCACGCCGGTGGTCCCGGGGAACAAAAGTCGCGGACCCGGTCGCGTGCGAAGCAATAAGTCAGCGAACGGAACAGTGGAAAGGTGAGAGAAAACGCGACGGCGCGTTATCACCGCCGATTTCGTTCCGCGAATATATGAGAAGAGCTGCCGATGTCTCGTTTTCTTTCTGTGCCAGCGCTACCCTTTTCTCTTATTGCGCGCAGGAAGCTGAAGAAAGGCAGAGGCGAAGGACCGTTAGCGACACCTCGTTCACGCACGTGCGTCGCGCATTCTCAGGGTGTAAAGAGCGATTTCGAAAATGGCAAACGTGATCGCGAATAATATTAATTATGCGAAGATGCTATGGTTGTTTTGTTGGAAACGCAGACTGAGACTTCGGTAGAAACGAGGAGTTGAAGAGATGAATCGTGGATTATTTTAAAAATCTATTAATCGGTTTCGCCGCGCTAAAATACCCGCGCATATCTCACGGGTCTTTGTCACCGTCAACAACGTCCCGGCCACATGTGCGCCTCTTCCCTCTGTCTCTCTTTTCCGTATTAATTCTCGCGCCGCTTTTGTCAGCGTTTACTCCTCCGCTCCTTCTTTTTCCACTCTCTTTTTAGCCTCTTCCTGTTCGATTCGCGCGCTCTGTGATCTTAATGCTCTCCCTTCTTCGAGACGCATCGTCGTCGTATCGTCACACTCGAGAAACGGGACGGGGCTTCTCCTTATCGAGTTCCCGCGGCTAAGTACGTACTCGAGCGTCGATAGATAACTTTGCCTCTTACCGAATCCGGGGATTAAAGAACTTTGTCACATATCAATTAACAGATCCACGAATGTGTAAGCGATTTTCATTACTAAACGTATGACGTCACTGATATTTTTTAATTATTTTCATAAAAAAGAAGATGTTTAAAAAAAGTTACCTTGCGTGGCGTCGAGGAAGGGATCGGTAGCAACGAGGACCGCCAGAGCAGCGATCAACGACGCGATCAAGAGCATCGTCGGTTTCGTTCGATCCATGTCTCACTGTTTACCACCGACGCATCGTTAACGCACGGAGACGATCGCGAAAGAACGTGACAGAGCTAAAGGCATGTCGGCGAAGCGCACTGGAGCGCAGCCCGCGAGCGACTGGAGTCGAGAGCTTTTCGTCGCACACTTTGCGGCCTCGGGCCTCCGGTTCAAGCTTTTTACTCGGACCCAACGTGGTCGAGAGGAGGACGGACAGAAGCAAGCGAGAGGGCAGAAGAAAGGACGGAGAGCACGTGTGGGAGGAGGGAAAAGACGCGTGGCGCGTTGTCACGCAGTGCAAGTGCTATTGTGACGTCTCCGAGCTGTACCTACACGCTTCTCGGTACGTATCTTTCTCCCTCCGCTCCCTCCCCGACCGTCCCTTATCCTCGCCAAGGAATTTCGCCCATAATTCAATTATCCAGCCTTTCCGTGCGAGCAGCGTGCATCTTACATTTTGAGAAAAATAGACGAAAACTTTCCAGAGACGCGTTAGTCACCGGCCAACTCTCTTATCTTCCCCCGGACAAGATTGACCGAACGGTTTCTCATAGAACCTCATAAATTCGAAGGAGCCGGGTAAACCGATAACCCGTGTTTGTACTTCCTCTGATAGCGATTGAGACGTGAATCGAATTAGCCGTGCGTATCGAAATTTTTGTAATCTATAAAATGACGGCTGACGCCGGAACCCCTCGTGAAGCGAATCGACTCGAATAATTTATTAATTTATTCTGCCGATAAATCTGTCTCAATCCGCACGTAGGCTGCGGATGGATTGTTCCCTCTCTGTCTTACGTTCCACCGCTTTCATTCCGCTGGTACCTCGCCTTAGATGAAGCTTGTTATTTCATCGGTAGATGCGCGCACGCAACCGTTATTCAAGATAACAATTTTATCGCCGGTAATCATAATACAATTCATGTAATTACCGGCCTAAGAGAAAATGGAAAATTCGATAGGCCACGGACGAAACCAGTTTCCTGGTTGTACCGGTTCGCGCAGCGCGTCGTCACTTTGTACACTGTGAGGACCATTATTAATGTAACGCGGCGACTAATTTGCAAAATTAGTGGTCGGACGGCATTATGTTCGTGACCAGCATCTTTGACATTAACAAAGACGTTTCCCCCCCTCCGAAGGGAAACGGTATAAAATTCCCCTTTTCTCGTTTCAATGGATATTAAATATTTTTAAGATGCACCGACCACGGCGAAGCGATTATTAACGACGATGATTTGGTACAAACGCGTAAGGGACTGAATTTTATTATCGAGTACGGAGAGTCCTGTTGAAGAGTCTCGATAATAGCTGAGATTTTCACTTACGAGTATGATAGCTGTAGTTTAAGAGAACTGTTTTCGCCGTAACAAGGCGCAATTGGCACCTTGAGCCAATCGCGCGATTAATTTATAACGATTAAGTCCTCGTGCCTTGGATAATTGATGCTTTTCTGGTTCTATCGTTTTTTCCGCGTTCGCCGTCGATGCCGGAAAAACGTTTTCGCAACGTGGACTTCGCTCGGTCGTGTTTAACTCACTTAAAAGTAGTCGCAATGGTTATTAATCGTCCAGCGGAGAGAGAGCGTCGTTTAATTGTACGCTGTTTATTCTGATTTCCTATACGGCCGACTAGTTTTAAGCGCGTTCCAACTTAGTCTAATCGATTTACAACCGTGTTTCTTTCTATATTTACAATTCTAATTTTTCTAAACCGATGGGAGATAATGTGGAACCGCTGAAGAGACTCGGGAAGGTGTCCAACGCGGTAAAATAAATTCGCCGGCGATTTATTTTCCGTGCATGCGCGTTTCACGTATTTGACTCACGCTCGAGCGAAAGGAAAGAGGAGGGACAGAACGACCGAATAGTTCTGTGAACATTGCATCCTCCGTCAATCGTCGGCTGCATGTCAATGAACCTAGCGTCCGCGGCGATAGAAATTGAGGACCGGCGAAGTAACCAGCTTCTCGCGTCGTGAGAAATCCGCTCGCAAAATAGACTTGTTCGCAGGAACGCGCCGAACGCAATTAGAATCGCCGATTCTCTCTCGCTCACTATTTTTCCCTATTTTCTTTTATATGCAAATCGAACGATAGGTTGACATAAACAACGTTTGCTTGCTCTCTGAACCTGAACATAGTCGCAGCCAATTGTAATTTGGATAATGCGACGCGTCGAACCTTTCGCCGGCTTGTTATTATGGAAAATCTCGTGGCAGACAATAGGAATATGATCAGTGAAATGCGAATGCGACGAACCGGCAATAAGTACAGTTCACAAAAAATTCATCGAAGCCTTTTACAGAGGAATCCCCTTCGAACAGCAACGGTGGAATCTGTGATTCGTGACAAATCCGCGATTTCTGTATTCGGGGTAGCTACCCCGTTACCGACGGCGTGTGTCAAGGGTGTTGGTGGCGCCTTCGTCAAGGTCTGCGTACGCGGATCCGTCCGAAGGGGTAACTAGCGGAGGGTCGACTCTCGCCAGTAGGGGTGAAAACTTTTCCGTGCTAATGTCGGGATGGATCGCCGCGGTTGTATGAAGTAAAACGAGGCGCCGTGTTAGGCATTTGCGGCCTGCACGGACGCCTGTGCGTGCACCTGTTTCGCGACAGCAAAGGGGTCGGTCGCGATATCCGTGCAGGGGTAGCCGTCGCGAACCAACGAATCCAATTAAGATCCGCTGAGTTTCCGATGCGACGGGTGTCAGTATCGCGATAGTGCACGCGGCGTTTAACCGCGACGTTAAATGGGTCAACCCAACCCAGCGACCTAACTGGTGTTCTCGTTTCCTACGCGTGTCCACTCGGTTGGCCTAGTTTCCTCGTTCGACACGGGCGCACACCGTGCGACCTCCCCTGATCGGTTCAGGAAAGTCGCCAATTATTATTATTGTCCGTTGTTCGTCAACCCTTTGACGTTCCGTCGTCGACGTCGCCATCGTCGTGTCACAGGCTCCGTCGATCGAACCCTCTCTCGTCCTCTCTCCACGGTCTCCTTCGGGACGCGATTATGGGATCCACGTCGCGGATACGCGTTTGATCGACACGCTGCTACACGCGGGCAAGTCCGATAACACGGCTGGTGACCGATGCATCCCGCGAATCGCGATAATCGCCTCTCATCAGTGAAGATCGTTGCATCGCAGATGTTCCTCTGAGGTATCGCAGGAGTGAATCGCATTCAAGGTGCGAATTATTCCTCTACTATGTCCTCTGTCGTATGAACAGGGGTTGTACGCGTTCTCTCGTCGCGAATAAACGAGCAAGTCGAGTGCTGTGAAAGTAAATTCTCCTTAAGGACATCGTTGCGCGGGTAATCACGGTTGTGCAGTTGCATTTTGGGAAAGCTAAGGGGTAACAACGGTGCGGACACTTGTACGCGACTAACGCGACCCTGAATTCAATTATCGATTCATCCGGAATATACACGACGGTGCATTTTTGATACACCGGTGCAACTCACTTTCAGTTCCTGTCATATGACACTCCGTTCATTGAGAAGATGAACCTACCCTTTGCTCGGGTGAAATTCGAATCTCTCGCGGTTCGATCAAATTTTCCTAAACGAACTCCGACCGGTTCGGCTCCTAAAAATCCTGAAAGGGTGCGAGGACGTGCGACCGAACGTTGTATTTTTATTGCAGAAGAGCGTGGGTCGCATGTAATAAAAATGGCGGCGAGTAAACCACCGGAAATGAATTATACCTGCGAGATCTGCGGGCTGGAGGGGTTCAACGACGAGGAGATGAGATCGCACATGGTGTTCTATCATCTGCAGGGGGCCGCGAACTGTCCGTTCTGCGATTTGGGAGAGATCTCACCGACGGAGATGTTGACTCACGTCAACAGTGCCCATCTCGATTACTTAACGCCGAGGTACGTTTATTTACGTGTAGAACGTTGATCCGGCAGGCAGTGAACCGTTCGAACCGTTCGAATCGTTCAATTGCTCGCCGCAAAAATGGGCCTTAGATGTCGCTGATCCTTTAGAAAGTTTGTGTATACCTGAAATAGGAACACCGGTGCCGGTGTTGATCGTTCGATTTATATTATAATAGTTCCGTAAAGTTGATCCTGCGAACGATGATAAAGAAAAGAAGGAAACTGGGAAATAAGTCGTACTCTTAGTAATAAATACCTCATTTATTTTCTTTAAGTGTAGTGATTTCATCGTTTACAACGATTGTCTGTTATGATTGCAGTACACCGGAGAATGATATGATGGCATTCATCGACGACGACTCGTTGGTGGACGATAGAAGGCACGATGAATGCCGCGGTCCATGTCCTTCTCCGACCATGTCCCCGAGTCCTCCACTTCTTCAGAACGGATGGAGCAGTTCGTTCAGCCCTCGTGCTAAGCCAGTGAATCAAGAGATTCCTAAACCAGAACCACAGATCGCTAGTTCTAATGTGAATAATAATAATAACAATAATAACATCGGTAACGTAAACAACGGTAAGGATCGTGATCTTATTTTCTCGCGATGAGAACGAAATATGTGAATGATGAATTGATCGCAGTTATCGAGGGTGCAGCTGGTCATGGATCGCCGCTGCGTTCGGGCCTAAATTTGCAGCTACGATCTCACGCCACGCCGAAACTTCCAGTTCAAGAGTGTCCGATGTGCCCGTACAGTTCCGACAGCCCTTTGAGGCTAGAGGAGCATATCAACAGGCAACACTTTGATCTCACGTCGCCGTCCTTTCCGCCTGAATCTCCGCCGTCCCGTGACGGCGTCTTTAACTGCCCTTTGTGCGTCACGTCTTTTCCAAATTCTTCTGACCTCGTTTTGCACGTAAACATCGAGCACAAAGATATTCTCAGGTATGATGAACGTTACTGAGACACGCGATGTAGATCGTCTGCAAGGAATACATTTCATGTCTCATCCCAATGCAGTCCCGCGAACGGCGCGGCTTGCCAGTCGGCGCAGGAAACGATCAGCGGCGGCGATACACCGGCGTGTCCTGTATGCTTCACCACTTCGTTCAAAAACAACGACGACTTAACGGCGCACATCGAGGAACACTTTAGCAAAAAGTGCACCCCGTCTCCCATAACTCCGGACTTGTCCACCGACAGAATGTTGGCAAAGGACATGGAGAGGCTCGAGAAGGAGCTGAGGAAACTGCGCGAGCAACGGGAGTTCGAGATGCTCAGGGCGCAATACGGGATGGACAATCAGGGAAATTTTCGAGAGCAGAGCGTCACCAATATGCAGCGGGCTGTGTATTCGGGGGAGATGACGATCGCCGATTATTACGAGAGGCAAACAGAGCTTAGAGTAGCCGAGAGCAGCGGAATCGACGACGGCAGCTCTTGTACACGCGGTAATCGCATCAACTTTCTTCGGGATGTTTTGCATTCGTCAACTTGTTTCTTCTCTTGTTCTCGTTTAGGATTGCTTCCCAAGATACGGGCCGTCAGTCAAGCGTGTAGCAACGTGTTGAGCACCTGGATGTGTTCGACCGTGGATCACTACGCGACGACGTACGGCGACAAAGGATGGGGATGCGGCTACAGGAATTTGCAAATGTTGATCTCGTCGCTGCTCCAACATACAGGGTACAATGAGTTATTTTATAAAGCGTGGAACTCCGGCCTGGGCGGCGGTAGCTCGACGAAGAATCCGCTGCGAAGTTCTATACCGTCGATCTCGCGGCTTCAGAAAATGATTGAGTGCGCCTGGGCCCAGGGCTTCGACACTCAGGGAGCGGAACAGTTAGGAGGGAAATTGGTGAACACTAGGAAATGGATCGGTGCCACGGAAGTGGACATACTGTTGTCTAGTTTGAGAATAAAGTACGTCCTCCCGAGCTTCGATTCTTCGATATCGTACATGACACGATGTTTTTTTTTTACTCAGGTGCCAGCTGGTAGATTTTTATACACCAACCAATTCCGACGGCGGACATCCGGAAATGTTTAATTGGGTTTTACAATATTTCCAGCGGTGCGATGATTTCAAGCCACCTCTCTACTTGCAGCATCAAGGTAAATCGTTTGATACGATGAGTATGAGAACGGAACAGGCTATACGGTATACGTTGTTAATCGTGTACGCAGGTCACAGTAGAACGATAATAGGAGTAGAACAATTGAGGGATGGTTCGATAACGATGTTAGTGCTTGATCCAAGCCACAGTCCGGCACAAATGGCACAGTTTAATAGTACAAGTAGCGCACTCGGTGCCATGCGTTTGGTACGCAAGTCGATCGCAGCAATGAAGGCGAGACAATATCAAGTAGTCGCCATTACCGGTATCATGGAGACCGAGATGGAGTATCATGTAAGTGTCCATCACTTCGTCGCACGCTTTCCACTTACAGTATTCTCGATCTCTTCCAGGAAAGCAAAGTGTTACGTTTGATCCGCGTACCGCAAGATAGGTGAGATTTACTGGCCCTGAGAAAAGTAAAAACTTTTGGGAAGACGATAGACTGCCTCATACCAATTTTCTCCAGTATCCTTCAAGTTACATGACCGCAATGTTCTAGGTTTTATCGTTAGGAGACTTTGCTCCACTGTATAGTAGTTGCAGAAGTGTTATTTAAATTTTTGTTTTAATCTTGCATTTTTTAACCGCGGCCGATGTCCGACCGCGGTTACTCGAATCACGTATTTGTCTATAAGCCTTCGTCGCGATTCACGGGACGAGGAGAAAGAACGACGGCAAGTCGTCGTTTCTGAAAATAAAAAACAAGTGTCTATATGTCGCGCGTATCGATTTAACTTATTCTTTGATCCAGAAATCAGCTCCGGGAATAATTAAGGTGCGGACTTGGGAAAAAAGGAAAGTTACCGTGTGATATTTAACGAATAGGATAAATGCGACCGCCGTTTCTTGTTCACACCGTGTTCTGCTCAATCTTTCGTTGCACCGAACAGGCTGAGCTAATTTTTTAGTCGACCAATCGTCCTACACGCCGATCGGTTGCATGCGCGGGAAAAGCCACGTGGCAGAGCTTTGAAATGGAAAAGACGAAACTCTTTCGTAGCTGTGATGCTGTTATCGATTTAAAGAATGAAGAATGCTGAATCACACCGACTTGAAATAATATTTTTGGAGACACTCCACCACGAACGAAACACGTTAACCAAACGAGTTTTAACTAACTTGTACCGCGTTCTAACTTCTATAATATGTACATCCGTCTCGCCCTTTCTCTCTTTTATCTCGTACCTTACATTTTTAACGAACGTTGTTGTCAAAATGTTGTCAATTTTTAGTGAATACGAAAAATTTACCAAATAATCGCGATAATAAATTTTATACACCGTCGATGGAACATGATCGAACGATATTTTTATTATCGTTGCTTTTACACAGTTTTTGGGGTGTCTACAAGAATAATTCAAAGAAACCAGACATATTTCCATATATTAATATACATTTATCTATACTATACGTATACACAAATAGTATATTGCACACGAATTCTTCGTTATATTAAACAACACCTCACTCACTCATACATAAAGTACAACTATACTTTCATACTACTTATAAATATTATTCTATTTAATTATCCAAGTTAATTTAAGGCTACCTATACCTTTAAACCGTAAGTTTCGAAGGCGATGTTGTGACGGAGAAACCAAAGACGAAATACCACAGTCCATGTTAACTTGTTTATATTTTATAGCGCATGCTGGAAATTGTTACGTTCGTTTTATCATTAAATGTACCATCGGTATTATCGTCATTGTTGCCATTAACGTTATCGCATCTGTTGTACCTTATCAATTGTACTCGTTGCACGAGATCCGTTCAGTACGATTTAAAAGGCAATGATGATCATTCAAGGAAAATCCAACGTACTGTTTCGATGAACAGATACTTATTAGGTTTAGTAACGCGGTGAATCTTATGCGGTACTAAAGCTAATAACATACCGATTCGGACGAAGATTTGTCTTTCTGCTCAGTAGCACCAGATGCAATAAATAATCACGACTGAAGTAAAGATATTACAATTGTGATCGTTGATTTATATTTCGAATTTCGTCGTGCAATGGAATTGTTACGAAATGTAAAAAGAAAATGAAATGAACAAGGGACTTTGCATTATTCATATTACTCAGTTCACATATGTCAAATTAAAATATATGCTTTGTTAGAATTCCCAATCTCATGTGTAATTGTTTTATATGCCATTCAAAGGTGCGAGAAATCGTGTTTCTCTTTCGATCATGCCCGGGTGGGGTACCTAATTTTATTTTCAAATAAACACTCAGCTGATTACAAAAAGAATAATTTATTTCATAATAAATTAAATATTAAGTATGCTTGCATCGTTTTCATCAATGCTAAATCATTTATGCACAAAGTAAATTTCTATAACCTGAGAATTTGTGTTAACGTGGTATACGTATTATATGTTAAATCCTAACGTCCGCATACAAGCTTTATGCGCTTCTATTAAATGTTGGCAATCTGCTTCGCCTTTGGTAATGATACTGAAAACAATAAATATTTCATCATAAAACAATTTGAGTAAAACGATTACATTAGGTTAAGGTTAAAGGCTACGTAAACCGATTTAAATTACGTTAGATTTAATTTAAGCTCAATCACAGAATTAATTTTCCTACTCGTCATTTATTTTAAATCGAATTCGGATGAAGACATCGTATAATAAATAGTTTTAAATACATATTTACCAATCGTCTCTTATCTTCTTCGTCTCGGGGCAAGCACAGCAGGGTTTCAAAGGTTTATTATCAGATTTTCCTGCTTCCTTCGATTCTGCACTAACGTGGCTCGGTTTTTCGTTTGCGTTACCCATTATTATGCAATAATTTTAAATGTTACAATAAAAATCTTCATGTGCTCTTCGATAGAGTACAATTGCATACAGTCCGTGTGCTAACCTGCTAACATGCGATAATGTGAGTATGACACCGGCACAGCGCACATCATTGACCAACATGGCGGCTTAATTGAATGTCCGTGGCTTTACCACTACTTCTACAAGATCAATACAAATCAATACAACATACAACTACAATATGAAATCTCGAAGGAATTAAAATTTTTTTCTCAGAATTTCGTAAAATGCTCCGAATAAAAATTGTAGCTATAAAAAAGGTCCTATACAATTGCTCTTCTATCTCGTATACTTCAGTAGTAATCGATTAATTATTTCGTTCATCGTCAAATATTTCTCAACGAGTGGAGTCAGAAGGAAATTGCGTAGAACCTTTTGCCTTATAGTCAGTTGAAAATTAACAGGGAAAGTCATTAGACTGAAGAAAGAAAATGTATTCGGAAGTCAAATGAACAGTGGCAGAACAATTATTAAATATCAATGAAAAGTACTAAGTAAGGAATGTATAATACTTTTATATTTGAAAAGATTAATTTGATACACATACACGTTAGATCTTCTGACATAGTTTATTTTAATAAAGACCACTTCAGTTGCTCTTTTGCGGACTGTAGCACCTAGAACAGAAAGATATGATTTATCGATTTAAATGTAAATCGAATGGAAATTTGTTGAATAATTCTGGCTTCTAAAATCACAAAAACTTACAATCAGAGACTGTGCGAGGAATGTAGAATGATGCATGAACACAAAATAAAAAAATCGAAAATGTATCTATATGGTAAATGGACATAGGCTTCGCTATGCCATTAAGTCAATTAGATGTATTTAGTAGTACTTATTACCTGTGCGACTGTCTGTTCTCCGAGAGGGATATCATCCGTCCTTAATGCTACCCTTTGAACAACGCTCGAAGCGTCAGCATCGAGAATGATTCTAAAACGTGACACTCCTTTAACGTAACACGTCTTTCAATCAAGGATCATTTAAACAATTTTCTATTTACCCTCCATCGCATATCTCATCCATTGCCAGCATGACTATGTCCAGGCTATCTAAAACGGCTCTCTTCTCAACATTCTTTCTCAAAATCTGACTCACCGAATCGTACAAACAGTTTAACACGCTCATTAGAATCAGCTATGAAATAGAATGGAAAACATAAGAATGTTAATTGACATAAACGATATGTAACATGGCTATTGAATTACATACCTCGTTTTCGTGGGAGAGTCCCATAACGTAAAAGAATAAATCTACATTGCTCTTGTAAATGCACGTTAAACCATCTAGCATAATAATCTCGGCATTGGCTCTGTGAGTTTTGCTAAACAGATTCTTCTCAAACATTTTCTGGTCCTTCGGAGTGGGAAACAAATTTTTGTCATAGTACTTGGCCAATATCCTGTTGCCATCGTTATCCAGGATGGCCATACCTTTCACAGTATATAACGTCGGTTCCTAAGGATGCGATATACAAATATATATTACATTAAAACACAAGACACAATATTTATCCCATGTATGCACCCATGTAACGCTCTAGTTTAAGCCTTTCTTAACAACCACAAGCATGTTACACAATTTGAAACAAGTTAGAAGTACTTTCATTTAAGTATTATTTCTCTGAGGGACTGTAAATGGGAACAGATATGGAAAGCAAACTTAAAATCAGTAATAAATCATACGCGCTGCCAAAAATCACGATCCTGGTCACCCTGAGGCATTGTAGAATGGTTATGTTGCACAACTTTCGATGATCCACCACGATTCATGATTACAATTGCACGAGACGATACTTACATCGACAACATATCATTAAAAAGGTGCACTTTGCTATATACGATCTAAATGAAGAAACGTAACACTCACGCTGAAAAACCTACCAATAACTGACCATCCATGTTAACGTCAAACCTGACGTGTCAATGTCCACTTTACCGCAGTGATGGCATCGTGGAATTTTTAACCCATGCGCACTGATGCGCACTACAATTTGCTAGATATTTTGCTTCGTTCATTCGAAATCGTTTCATAAAATTAGTCATGATAGAAAATGTAATCAAATTTTATTATATCGATCAACAGCTGTCTACATATAAAATTTATTTTGTACAGCTAACATATTTATATTAAATTCGGACGGTCTCCTCCTTCTTTATTAAATTCGAGTATTTCCGTAGAAACTCAGGTCCATCCCACTTCCCACTGTAATTAAAACAGTATTATTATGCTTGTCCTTTATATCAGTCAAACATGATCACGGCGAATTTACCGAGTCATTAGGGTCCAGTAGACGAAAGGGAATCCGTAAACCTTGAGGAGATACGTGAAAAAGTATTCCCGTCCCTGGTTCACTGGGAACGTCTCCATCGGTTGCAAATTATAATCGAATTCAGCCAAGATGCATGTTCTATAACCAGTGACCAAGGGACAAGACGAATAACCGTTATAAGCCATGACCATTGGCTTACCAGCCAATTCATCGATTATATTTTTATACAACACTTTCCCCTGAGCCGCTATACAGACAATTTTTTATATTATTAACTTAAATGAGACTTTAGTTCTGTTCCCAAATTTTGCTATACCTATCGCTGCCATCGTTTTAGAATTCGGACTACTGGTACAGTCTCCGATTCCGTAGACATTCGAGTATTTCGTGTGTCGCAATGTTTTAGGATCGACAGACAGAAATCCTGCTTCATTCGTTAAAGAAGGATGTTTCTTCAAAACGTCGGGTGGTCCCATTGGCGGGCACACGTGAAGCAATGAATACTAAACACAAAACGTTGGAAGTGATAATACGAACATCACTGCTTAATAGCAATAAGTACCTTCTCGACGAACGTCTCTTTGGAGTCACCCAATTTCTCGAATACAGCTTCTCCTTTAGTTGGGTCTATCTTTACCAGATTTGTCTGAACGTTCACAGTAATATTCCTTCGCTTGCACACCTCCCAAAGAGCGTCGGCATACTTTTTAACGCCGAATATTACGGGCAGAGCCGTATTGTACTTGACTTTTACATTATCGCGTACCTTTTGCTTTGAACAAAACGATTATTAATGCGATGAACAGATGAATAGAATCGTAATACGATTAGATTTACTTTACGAAAATATTCCTCGGCAATGTACGCGATCTTCTGCGGAGCACCAGGGCATTTGACGGGGCTGTTAGGGAAAGTAAAGATCGCAGTGCCTTCCTTGGTTCTTGCAATTTTCGGGAATACATTTGCGACAGTGTCGGGCCCATAGATAGAACAAACTTGGGATGTACTATCTTTGAGGCTCTCTGTTAAACCTGGTATCTGTGCGATGTGAAACAAATTTGATTTCTCTTTGAAACGTGGAGAGGAGAATATATTTTGTCCGACCTCACTTTTTCCCAAAACAACTGCAATCCCATTGCGACGATCATGATTTCGTATTGAACGGTGTCCCCATTGCTCATAGCAACTTGGTTCTGTGCTGGTTCGAAACTTGTTACACTCTCTTGAAACCACGTGGCGTTCCTCGGTAAGGTATCTTTCATCGATCTCTTCGAATCGTCAAAAGATCTTATTCCACCACCGATCAAAGTAAACATTGGTTGATAATAATGCACCTAACAAATATTATCCTGATTAGCACGATCAAATAAATGAGAAATAATGACGGAAACGGGATACTTACTTCGCTTGGTTCTACTATCACAACTTGCTTTGGATCTTTAAACTTGTTCGCGAGTTTCGCAGCCATGCTACAACCACCGGTACCACCTCCGACCACCAGCACTTTGCATCTACAGCGTTTTGCTTGATTAGCACTAATATTCATACGCTCTTGTTACTGATTTTACTTACGTGTGATGAATATCTCTGTATCCATTCTTAATTACAATGGATCGTTTAAAGGCTTGTAAACTGCAGGCATTTAGACAGTACATGGTACGTAAACTCCTTATATGACTCATTTCTGAGGCAAACAGAGGTAGATTCATAAATAGAATTCGTACGATTGAATTATCGTGACTGTTCGAAGGAGATTGATCGAAATAAAATATCTAATCAATGTTCGGGACGTAAGAGTACGGACGTGGAGTACACTTACTTGATTAATGATAAGTAACTGGTTACTTCAAAAGTATCTTCATGAAACTAGTTCAGTATAATATATTCGTCGAATCACAAATAAGTGATATTACAGTAGAATGTCTCGACATGTCAAGCGGACGTTTGCAATTACACTTGCGACGGCAGTTGCTAACTAGTGTGTATAGGTAAGCTAACTCGGAATAATACTTACAATACCCATTTGACCTTGACATCGAAGCAACGCGCAAGCGTGTATTTCAATTTCGAATGATAGAATCTTACCCTCTTCTTATTTTGCAATTAAACGTTTTCGATAAGATAAATCAGATGGGAAAAGTCGGACGGGGCTTGAAATGATAAAAATTGTTGTCTTAGTCATTCTTTTGCTTCTCTCTTTATTGAGAATAACTTTTGAACGCCGCCTGGAAATAGGCAAGCTCTGCTCAAACCCCGAAAATCATCAGTCATGAGAGAAAACAAGAGATGTATACATTTTCGTAACGTAAAAATCAGAAAACTAAATATATTTGATCGATAAAAGTCGCACGTAAGTAAATCACAAAACATGATCATTGCACTCGTAATTCGAGTGTACGAAAGACCGAAATTGTTTGCGCGGAAATAATATCGATGCCACAGCGAAAATTATCTTACATTAAAACGCATTTGTAAACTGTATCGTTCGTCTTTTAATAAGAATATGACTAAGGATACTTTCTCACGACCGAGAATTTTCGGATTGAGCGTGTATCCACGATACGCAAGCTTCTCAGCTTGCGCGTGAAATACAAATGCACGATCTTGCAAACGATAATAATAATAATAGTAATAATAATAAGTATACACTCTAGTGAATGATCATCGCTTCTATTTAATAAGAAAAAATTTATTTACAATTCGGACACGGTTCATCTTTCGGTTCATCCTCCGCGTTCGTTTGAAACTAAAAAAAAAATCGATTCCACTTTCCATGGCGATTCAAATAGTACTCACTTTTGTCCGAAGAAAGAAACGGAAGCGGCTGTATCCAAGAAATACGCTACTTCCCCCTCACAGTGACCGACGATTTAATATCTAAATTTTTGTCTAAGGATCTCAAGCAAGTCCGTTTCGGTCTTCGAAAATTTGTATTCGCACACGCACGACACCGTTTCGTTTTCGACAAAATTCTACTTTACACAAGTTCTCCGTATCGTCGAAACGTTGCGAAACAATTGATTAGCAATAAACGTCGTTTGTACCGCACAGCCAAGAGAATGCTCAAAAGAAACGACTGGTCTACGATTTTCCGGAATTGAAAAAGGAAAACGAGGAAACGCTCAGTACGAACTCTCCTTCTGTTAGAGAGGTGATACGTAAAAGATATTACACAATGCTTAACTATATAATGATACGCGTGTCATCTCTAAATAGAGCTTTCGATTACTCTCGGCTACGGGACATACGAAAATACATAAAGTCGGCGTGATAAAATAGACTGAGTCGTTCACACTTATCGTAGTTATAATAAGAATGAAAAATATTCCTACAACATCGAACGACGAACAGTTGATATCGTATCGCGCCGAGGGAGCGTCGGAACATTTATTGCTAACATACTTTTCTAATTTCTTTTCCTCGTTCATCTCATCTGTTCGTTGGACGAACACATCGAAACGCGCTTCGATATAATTTGTATTATAATCCACGAATCTAAATGTTTTCACATTCGTTCAGCTTATCGTGTTATCAATAAATACATATTCCTCCGTCGCGTCTTTTCGACGCGGTGCAAACCTCCGATATGCACAGGAAAGAAGAAGAACGCCGAAGAATGGCTATGCGAATTGTGAATTAGTTTTAAAATTCACAAAACTTATCTTTTTTTTTTCTTTACGTTCTTATCATTTATCATTATTAATGTTGGTGTTATTATAATATAACCGTTATTTAAATGTTAATCGATATTAATATTATTATTATAGCTGCTCGTTTCAGAATCAGAACGCAACGAATGCTCGGTATGAAATACGCGTGAGACAAATGATCGATGATGCTTCTTCGTTTTTTAATACAGTACGCACGGCCGTTCGCAATATACTTTAGCGGTAGTACAATGCAACTCTATCATCGGTTCTTCTTAAAAAATAATACCTACAGAGAATAGAAACGAGTATTTAACTGTGTGTCGCTGAATATAAGTATACGCGTTCGAACGTGACTCTTTCGAAAATGATTACTGACTCGTTAATTTGATCGCGCGTACTGCAACTTGTACCATTCTCATTTTACATCGTTTCAATATGTAATTCTTACGTCGTGTGGAGTAACGCGATAGTGTAACCGTAATATGTGTGTGTCGACGTCATTCATTTGGTTTATTTTGGCATACAAAATAATTTTATTTACAGTCTGACAATAATTATTAATCGTTTACCTATAGTCCTTTATACTAAGTGACGATAGTATAACTTGAATTACTTACTATATTATGCGGTTCTCGGCTATGTACATAACGAAACGGCACGAATAAATATCATTGGACGTGGACCAAGTTTTTCTCCGCTTCGCGCAAACGATTCGTTCAGTCAGGGACACTTGTAGGAAATCGATCTCCGAAGAGAAGTGACCGGTAAGATCGGCCGCTAAAATACTATACTGGTACAATTAATAACCACGCAATTATGCGCCCGACGTATCCCCCATGAATACGCATTCAATTTTCATATACAGCTTTTGATTCACTTGACGAACTGAACATGATAATGATGGATGAATTCATATTACAACTGTGATAAATGGACGATGCACATATCATTGGAAAGAAGTGGCAGAAAACATTGCGCATCTTTAATTCAGTGAACGATTGTGAAACTGTGTGATTCGGCTCATCGAGCTTTCTATCTATTTAAAGAGGTCCCTGCTCAACGAATCGATCGACGATCAATTTAATAGCTGTGTAGCTACGCGATCGTATCTCGCGTTCTTCGATGCACAGGAAAATGTGGCAGTTGAACGGAATAAGAAATAAGGATAGTAGCCCCTGAGACGAAAATCAAAATCTCGCTTAGCAAGAGGAAGAAGTGCATGACTCGTGAAAGAAATAGAATGATCGCCTCGACGCAATACGCTGATCGTTCGCCTGGGGACGAAGTAGATATAATATCACGCAAACCAAACTTTGAAATTGATCTCGAGGACCGGATCGATACAAGGCGTATTTTCTCGATGGACGAAAGAATACGTCTGGTATTTCTAAGAGCAAATAACAAAGAACGCCGACGTGGAAATCAGTCGCAAAATCCAATGATCAAGGACGAAATGAAATGCTCTCTTCCTTTCTTTCTTTCTTTTTTAACTTATCGCGTATCTAATTTCACCTGAGTCAAGAACAATTATTTACCTCGTTTTCTTTTTCTTCATTTTACTAATCGGAAACGATCACTGATTGATTTACGTTAAATTCTTGCTAACGTGGAGGGTGCCACCATGTTCCGGAAATTATGATCCTCGCCGCGCTATCCAGCGGACAATCCTCCGTACGATTTTCGTTTCTTCTTGGTCATTCGGAACGATTACGAGAAACGAGATCGGCCAAGTTCCAACATGAACGAAGAAGAAACAAAACGGGATGACCTCTCCCCTTTAGGTGGTCGCTCGGTCGGGTCGCTTCCTGACGGATCTTCATCGGCATCCTCTTCTACCGACGTCCGGATACTACGAAGTGTGGGTCTGCGACAGTTTGCTGGAACTCCTATGATGGCTAGACGTGTGTTTCTCCTGAAAATACAAACAGAACTCTGATACACGATCCTTCTCAATACTTCCAATAGCGGGTTTCAAATGATAAGTGAAAGGACTCGCGGGAATCAATGCTCTCGATACTCGTCCAAGGATCTCCTCGATGTTAAACGAATCGATCGCCGAAAAATCAATGAGAAATACGTTAACAGAATTAATGATTCTAAAATAGCAAACAATATCAATTTCACTTTGTCACGAATAAAAGATTAATCAATAGTAACATATTCCTCGACAGGCGTATGAAACTAAATACTTAAATACTTGTACAGCGATACGAATTACAGGTATTCAGTTAAATTGATTGTGTATACTAATAAACGCTCTCGGATGTGAGATCGTAAATCAGCATAAGATTGCGTGTATTAAAAGAAATGAATGGGATAAATGATGGGAGAGGCATAGTACTCCCGAATTTCAATCGACTCATTCTTAAACGTGAGGCGAATCAAAGCGTAATAAAACTGAATACATGCATACAACATGAAAAGCCTGATACCGCGCGCATGCCGCATGCAAAATTACACGCATACAATTACACTCGTAACAAACCAACAACAATAATAACATTAGCATCGACGTTCCCAATGACGTACGATAAACGTCGTGGTACCCTCCACCAAGCGAGTAAAATTAAATAACATCTATCTTCACTTTCACGTATGATGCACACGTAAATGGAGGAAGACCATTACACATGATAATAATAGTTCTTATTACATACTGATAATATAGCGGTAATATATAATGTTAGTACACAACGAGATGCGGCGAGATAGTGTGCGACGTATTATTTAATATATATCTAAAGTATAAATTCATACATGCACGCGTATATGCGGAGACGTTGTGCGTTGCAACCCGGGTCCATACGCGTGCATGTACTATTTTTATATGGTGTGTTAAGAAAGAGACAAAATAATCACTAAGGTACTTTTCGTTTCCACAGAACAGTTTATTTTCGATGCTCAATTTCATTTCTTGGTCGGACACGTGACGCGTACGATCCCTGCTGATTAAAACGATCCACCAACTGCGACAATTTATCAGCTCGAAGAGCATCCTAAGCACCCGCATTCTCTAATAATTCCGACTTTCTTCTTCGTGCAACGAAACAAAACTCTGCGTCTCCTCGTTAAGTTTTAAGTGAACCGACCGTGTACAAACGCAGGTGCTTATCTAAGTGAAAAGCAGGTACCGTACGCGACATGTGATAATAGATATACATTGTGTACAGTATTGATGCAGTGTTCGCAATGTTACACATCGTTGTCCCTCTTCTGCAGACGAACGTGATTCGTACCATTCGTGTCGATCGCTGATCACACGCGTGGGCTCTCTTATTACCACTGATAATAATAATATATATTTATATGTATTTATGTATATATAACTCTCTTTCCATGTCTCACTACGGAAAGGTGTGAAACCTACATAATTTACCTTAGCAATTATTTTGTCTTATGACTTGTACAATTGCACAAATATTCACCTAGGCCGATCTTTTCGGTCATTAATCCTCCAAATAAATCTTTTAAACATCACACATATAGAAAGGTTCTTCCTTCGTTTTACAATATCGTTTCAATCACAATCGTTCATTGCAAGCCAAGTCGTTTGATATAAAAACTTATTCAGGAAGAATAAAATAGAATTGCCTGATTGAGAGGTGTTCGACAGCGAACGGAACTTTAGAATCAAATAATAATAATTATTGTAGACGGCATTCTTCCTGAATGTTTCGACTCGTCAAGCTTCGGCTGAGTAATACGGTTTCTCGCACGAATCTTAGGAAAGGCCCACGGCGATTTAAGTTTATGTAAAAATAATCTCTTCTGCTGTGCAAATTTCTATACGATGCTCGATTAGGAAAAGAGTTTAAAAAATCCTTATACAGAATTTTGCACTTGAGAAGCCGAGAAATGTTGGGAACGATCGTAGCAATCACACAGTACACATGTACGATCGAAGTTTCAAGAGTACTATCTAAAAATTGTGACAATGATACAATAACAACTAACAACAATGACATCGATGCGCCGTAACGCTCAAAGAACGCACGATTCCGATTTCTCTTATCCGTCACAATGGCAATCACAATACACGTACGTGTGTATCTATCTCTATATATATTTCATGTAAATATATATATGTATGTATAAACGCACTTTTAGTAGATAATATTTGTATAATTTGTAATATATTAATCACACTGACTCTCGCTCTCTTTCTCGACACGCTCCTGAGGTAATATTCATATTTTCTACCAGCGATTATTTGTAACGTCCGTCGCGTTTCCGTATACGCAACTGCACGAAGGCACGTAAATTATATGTTGATCAGAATAAAAAAAAAAATGAAATCACCTACGCACGCCGCGGTACTCCAAATAAATATAAAAACACAATCTACATATAAACCTAACGTGATCAAGCTCGAAGCATTGTACAAGAGAATGTAAAAAATAAAATCGTAGATAGGAAAACTTCTTAACTAATTCCTCGGATCGATGACAATGTCTCTGAATAAAGAATATTGCATCCTTGATTTAGTGGGTATAACGAAAAATTCTGAGAACCGTTTAACACGTTCGCTACAAGCTACGTACGTGAACAAGTCCCTATCGATTTGACTAAGAGTTTGATCAAACTGTTCGTACAGTTAAAAATTATTTTTATCAGACTTTAACGATGATCGCGTATTCTAATTCGGATACGAGGGGCACATGGAAAAATAACTCTATAGTGGTCGTATACTAACAGTGAGAGCAAATTCTAAGTAAACTAATTCTCTCCCACATTATTTTATGGTGTACACCACATTTTTCTTTATATATACGAAAGTCTTGGGTAACAAGACCTCACGGAACTGAAAACGAAAATTACCTTTCGTTGTTGCACAACTGACCCTTTGCGTTCTCCGTAAATCCGTGTACACTATGCACCGGGAATTGCACTTTATAATAGAAGAAATCGAACAGAACAATTTCAATTGCAAAGGGCTGGTCGGAAAGATTCTGTTAAGACATGATTATCCGCGTTTTAAAACGACGCGGCACGTGTTAATTTGCACTAAGTAATAATATATAAATTATGTTTATATATAAATATATATATATATCTTTACAAATACGTACACTTTCAAATCCGTAGCGATATTACATTTAAGTTTACTAAACACTCTTCTCATTTTCATACGATACATTGTTCTTTTTATATTTTATAGTTTTTCTGTTTTTACTTTACTTATAGTTTTGTAGTTTTTTTTTTTTAAGTAACTGCTTATCGGTCCACGAAACCGGCGATTCGACTTCGTAAAGGCAACACTCTACACACTATCCTCTCCTCGAAACCCTTTGCCAGCAAAGGAATTCCATTTCCCTAACTACTTCAATGGAAAATCGTCCGATACTCGAAGTAGCATTGAACAAATTTACTCCTCGATTATGTAAAATAGTCACTGTGTGATACATAACGAAAGGAAAAACAATAATCAGAATAATTCGGTCTCCATTCCAGTGATTGAGCATTAATTAAAATCTATTGTAAGCGCAAAACATAATTACCGTTTTTCATATTTACTCTGGCAGTGTTTTGTGCATAAATCATAACAACGTTTTTTTTATTTTCTATCCTACCCATCGTTTTCCACAAAAAAGATTGTTTAGAGAAGAATAGAGTTAAAGATGTCCTATCGTCATTCGTCAAGAAGTAGTGAAACTATATCTCGATCTCTAATCAAAGGTTTCGTTCCTTTCCTGCACATCGTTTGCGACTCTGTCGCCTACACGATGATCCACTTTTACGTACTCCATCGTCATAGTCTCTCTTAACATCTAACAGACCTTGCATTTCGAACGAAGGCTCACATTCATTGAAACTACTCTAAGGAGATGTGCTACAGGTACAGAGGTGGAAAGATCGAAGCATAATTCGTAACACTATAATAGGGGGTAATAGAAACCGTATATTGTCATGCTGCTACTTCTACCATTCACAAACTGAAAGGGAGAGAAAGATAGGATAGAGGCAAGGTGAAAAAGTGTCGTCCTTCGAAATCGAAGATCGGCTTTACGAGAATCTCCAATCACTTCCCCGTCTTCTCCATTATAAACTAATTAATAACAATCGTTTAAGAACGAAAATCGAAGATCGAACGAAAATCTGTGGTACCTTGGATACAACAGATCGTAGAATCTCCTCAGATTCGGGAATTGATCGGGGGAAAAGTGAATTCGTCAGTTGGTCGAAAAAGTTGCTGTGGTTACTGTCGCTACGTTGGGAAAGTACCTTAGAAGTCCACTACAAGACAGGAGATCCATACTAACGTTATTCCGGGGGCGGGGGCGGGGGCGGTGAGGAACTGGGAGGAGGTCCGCTCGGCAAGGGTGGCGGCGTGTTAGGTTCCTGCCGAGCGACAGGAATCATGCTTTGATTTTGTCGCATGTTAAGGGGTAAAGAGGGTGGCGGTACAGACGTGTCAATGGCACCGTCTGGCGTCATTATGACATTACCCGCCGGATACATCGAGTATTGTTGCTGATAGTGCGGATAATACATGACTGGATCGAAGATGTATCCGGTGGGATACATCGAGGGCGGCGGATAGTTCGCGTAGAAATACGAGTCCGGTTGCGACTGATTCATATGGCCCGCCCTCGTGTAGTTTGGGTCACCACGAGCGGATGGGGGATGGGTATGGTGCGGATTACGGGCATTGTTACTACTGTAGGTATCTTGTTGCTGATAATAGCTTTCACGTTGGCCGGCACTGTAATGGCCCGCCGATCCTGCTGGTGGTGGACCACGCCCGATATATTGGCGGCCGCCTCTACCGCCTCCACGTACCTTGTTATTACTGCCCGAACTATAGTGTCTCCCATTCTGCCGTTCTCCGGGTCGATGCTGTCCATATCCCGCTGACGAGACCTGCGACTGCTTCTTCGTCGGTGGTACACTGGTCACCAGGGTCTCCTTTACATCGGAACGCTCGCGCTTCCGGATATTCTCGTTGGTAGCGAACTCCGCGACGATGCTGGAACCGCCAGTCGCCGACGGCGCACTCCTCGAGATACCATCCGTGCGGATCTTTATTTTCAACGGAGCCTGAACGACGGACTGCGGAGAACTGGACACACTGTCCGTTCCCTTCAGTCGCTCCTTCGGGATAATTATCTTGATACTCGTGTTCTGAGGGGATTTGTTCTTGTCACCGACAGTCGCTACGCCTCCGGTGGTACTCCCCGTCGATTCCGTGCTCAGATTCAACTTATCTTTAGGAATAGTAATTTTAATCGGTACCGTGGGTACAGCCTCTTCGCTCTTCTCTTTATCCTTCTCCCGATGCTTCTCTTTGTCCTTGTCTTTATGCTTATGTTTGTGCTTCTCCTTGGACTTCTCTTTGTCTTTGTGTTTATGCTTCTCCTTCTTTTTCTTCTTTTCGCTCTTGTGGTGTTCCGACTTCTTCTCCTCTGCCGGCGGTGCGACCGTTAACGTCGTCGACGTCGGCACAGAGAGAATAGACTCCGCCGTGGTTTGTATCGGACCAGAAATAGCGCTGATGTCCACGGTCGAAGCTATCACTGGCTCGTTAACCGACGACAAGCCCTGGGTCTGTACAGGTTCCTGATGCGTGAGCAACATCGACATAGGCAGTTGATGCTGCGGCTGTTGCAACGGCTGCTGCTGTTGCTGTTGCAATTGTTGTCGAAACTGTTCTTGATGCATTTGACTGAACTGCTGAATGCTCTGCAACAACGACGGCATCGGCGCCAGAGGCTCCTGGAGCAGTGCACTTATACTCTGAGCAGATTTCATCGGCGATAAATACTCGCTCTTTATCTGAGTATGCTCGATCTTTATCGGCATATCTGTCTTATAACCTTGTTCCTTTCTGATCGGAAACTCTTGCGCTTCCTGTTTCACTGCACTCGTATCTAAACCGTTGGTCAAACCTTGCTGATTCGACGAGACCTGTTGCTGCGCGGGTATCGTACCGTAACGCGATAGCATCGGTTCAGAGTCGAAAGGCTTGATCAGTTCCGGTGGTTTCATGTCATTCGCGATCTGCGTGGCTCTCCCGTTCGCTGACAGATTGTCTCGAATCGGTTGTATCAGCTCTGGTACTCTGCCCAGCATCTTGGCGGCCTCTAAACTGGTCGTATCCTCCATTTTGACCTTTGTCTGTTGGCCACCATCGCTGACGCTTCCGGTGCGATGCCTCTTGTGAGACGTCGAGGAGATGTCGCTTGCCGATCGCTTCACTGGCTGTGGTTCTTGAAGTTGCAACCCCGGCGGGCTAGCGAAAGGCGAGACTAAATTAAACCCTAACGACGTATCTGGTACTCGCTCTGGTTTAGGAACTTTTGCGGCTGAGGGCGGCGTCTTTTGCTTGGTCTTAGGCCTTTGCGAATGCGATTCCCGAGGCGTCGGCACTTTTTCCGGACTGAACAGCGATTTCGGCTTAGTGGGAGGTGTTTGCAATACACTTTGTTGAATATCGGACGTATTCTTCTCTGTATCTTCGTGCCGCGGTCGTTTTTCAGTTTTCGGATCGTCAAGATTGTTTAACGAGGGCAAACTCGATGATTGCGAGCTACCATTTTTCATCGTGTCCTTCAATATCTGAGAAACGCCATAAGCTGTATGCTGGCTCGACATCGTCTTCGACGTTAACTGTTTCTGAGCGAGCAACAAACTATTCGGAGACTTCTCTTGCGTCAACGACTGGCCAGGGGCAAGTTTCGACTCGATCGACCCGCTATTGCTCTGAAGTTTCTCGGACTGACTATACTTCGTATGATGCGATGGTTTCTGTATACTCGAAGTGTAAGATACGTCGAGCGTCGGTTTAGGCGGAGGTAACGGCTTCTCGATGAGCTTCCTTACTTCCTCGCATCTCTGCTCCAACGTGTCGGACTTCCTCTGCCGATCGATTCTCATCGGATCCGGGTACTTGTAAGGCTTCTGCTCGCCGTCCTTCCTATGCTCGACCGGCTTGTGCCTCGGATCGTATATTCTCTTATCGTGCGGTTGGTGTTTACCCTCCAGCCCGCTCAATCTGTGTACACTATGATTATTATTACTAAGCTTCTCTTGAAGACTCCCGTGAGACATCGGATCCTGTAGCGTTCCACCGTCCGATCTGTGAGCAACGGTATCTGACAAGGAACTGTCCATGCTCGGATCCTTCGCTATTCCGTGACTATGAGAGTGAAGGGTGCTACTACTACTACTATTACTTGTGTTCGAATTGTACTCTCTCTGTAACCTCTGCCTGTTCGGGTCGCGATTTGGTTCCCTAGCTTGAGTACTGCTCGAGTGCCTCTGAGGCACCAGCTGCCCGACTTTGATGTCCGGTCTGTGGTGATGATTATGGTGAAGACTCTTTTGCGCGAGAGGCAACGGATGTTTGTTCAGCACGTTTGTATTAGATACAGCCTTGTGATGATGCAGATGATGTTTGTTGACGTCCGACGCATGGCTCTGCGCGGCCGTCGCCGGAATTGCCGAAGCCTTCTCCCTTTCTAAACGTTCCCGCTCCTTCTTCTCCCGATATTCACGGTAGTCCACTGGAGGCCTCGTCGAAACAGGAACATTCTTCTTTTCTTCTTGCTTCTCCGTTTGATGAGGTCGATTCGTATGGAATGTTGGTCCGTCGGCCGTCGTCGCGGGAGATTGTACCTTACGAGGTTCCGTGTCCTGTATATAAGGATTATCGAATAAATTTCAGAACGTTCAGAGTTTCCAATGGTACCGATGGGAAATACTCACGAAAGGTGAATTTGGTAAACTAGGATGATTGATGCTTGGACTTTGATTGGCAGATATGCTCATTATCTTCCGTTTCAATCTTGATGGACACTTATCGAAAATGTGAAGAAACTCCGAGGTGAGCTCTTGTAAAAGCTCGGACGTAACGCTCTTGTCGACATACCAGAACCAGTGTTTGCCCTCTGTGCTCTGAGGTATCTGTACAGAGAAATGATTGTAAAGCCCTGATCAGTGGACAGCCGATGAAACGAGTGTTGGCTAGATGATAAAATGCTTACCTCCCAATTCGACCATTTGCAAGCAAGGTGTATACAGAAGCAGGCCACCACTGTTGGCTTGTACTGTAGACACATCGTCGTCAAATGCAAACTGCAAACAAAAGAAGAATCGTCTTATAAGTCGACTGAATAACTAACGACAGCGATATTTTTTTCTCACGGCTCTCTTTGCGAGATATAATCCAGAGCGTAAAGAGAACTGTACTATAAAAAATGGGAGTACTAGTTCCATTGAACATGGGAAACATCGGGATAAAACCAGGACGAATTTCTTACGATTCGTTTAAAACAGTCAATTACATGGTACACTTAATTACGATTCAATTCCAAAGAGTACGTTTCCAAAACAGTTAACAAAAGGCAGGACATTAGAGATTTTCGCGATGAGCTCTACGCAAAACTTCTATCCAAACGTTTGCGAATCAATGGATAATATATCAAGGATTTCTCAACATAATATGAACGTAAGCCTTACAACACTCTGTTGTATCGTAACAAATTTACCGAAGTTTGCCCCAATATAATCCCATGACAGATTAAACTTTAACTTATTGAATCAGAAATTAAAATCACTAAAATTTGATACACCCGATCTGTGTAGCAACAGAGATAAGGCTCGATTAATTATTCGATCTTAATTATCATCTGTTCAAGTATTATTTATCGTATAATACTCGAACGGATTATAACCAGATTCTGCTCATACCACATTGAATTACTACTGCAGAATACGTTCTAATGATATGGCTTAATACGCTCATTATCTTATTATTAATTCGTTTTAACATTCGCTCGTCATTACACTACGTCCATACACACTTCGCACACTCTTTAACAATTCATTTTGTGCATCTACAGCTTAAAAATAAGTGAATATAAATATAAAAATAAAAATTGGACGATATACCGTAATGTGTCTCATATTTCGTATAATATAATCTTTTGAGACATTTCAATGAAACATAAATAAAGGCACGATCTCAAATTAAGTTTCTGTCACGTTTACTTTGCTTTCGAAGAAGAATGTAGGTCAGAATGTTGCGCCAGTGGCTATTGCCTGACAGTCTTAGCTTGGAAATATACTCCAGCTGGCATCTATTTGACCAGAAGACTGCTAAGAGTAAGAGATAGGATATAATGTGTAGCCACCTGTTAGATGCCATGAAGTATGAAGTCTGGGCTAAGTCCTTGCTCGCTGAAAGACAAGTTGAAACACTTGAATAATGTCATGATAGACGTGCGTTAGCATACGGAGACAGTAGTACGTACCTTTAACCAGTTGACAACATCTAACAACATGCGTGTGGGGGTGATCAATGGCGACATCAAACCCCAATGTTTGTAATAAAACATTTTCATTGAATACCAGGTCTTGAGCTTGTTCAAGATATTGCTAGGAATGAAAATACGAAACGGTACTTGTGAAAATCGATGAATGCTAGAGAACGATGATCAATCAAACAGATGTTTCTTTTTCGTTTACCTCAGATCTGACATCAGGTGGGGGCTGATCTCTGTGGAGACACATGTGTGCCATTTTGATAACATGTTCTAACTTGCGAGGCTGTTCTTCGACTTTTGCTGCTAAAAACAGTGCCGCCGCTGCGATTGCGTTCCTGTGGAACTGTGACAGCGAGTGGAACACGTAGAACCTGTGCATGTACACTATTGCCGTGTTGATGCATAATTGAGACCTGTATTTGAATAGTTAAGGAAAATATAGACTTAACGATGTGTTACGATTATTACATGTTGAGTACAATGCTTCGGTTATCTTACGCTCGATATATTATTCTGCTATTCAGTGCAAGTACTATATCTTATTCATTTATACGGATAAATTAAAATGATTCAAACAACGTTGGGTATTAATTACTTTTCATTGAGATGTAAATTATAAACGTGTGTACTGGTTGTTCAATGAAAAAATACATTAAATTAAAACAGGAAGTATAATTGTATTTATAATTAGATAACGTAGCAGTTATTCTTAAATCATTAAATTAAATGGTAAGATCAAAAAATGGAGAGAACAATAGATTATACGTAAATAATTTTATTTAATTTTTATGTTACATTTGAATATGTAAAGCTTGTTCATAATTTTTATGTATACTGTTGGCTCATTTCTCTATTTCACGACCTTTGTTTCACTTAGATTTACTATTGCATTAAACTCCATTTCTCAGATTATTTGTTATCTAATTAAAGGAAAATATTTAAATGAACAACTCCAGATATATCAGAAGCTACTATTCTCTACTCTACTTATTAAATGTTATAAGATGCGAGCGTTAGACATGCACTACAAAGAAAGTAAAGACAAAGAGATATTAGTTTGTAGCGTGTTAAAGCGTAAACTGAATGAAAACACCTCAATGAACAGTATCAGAAAAAACGATATACAGAAGGAAAATGAATAGAAATCATGCTTTTGGTTGGCATTACTGTCAAACTTGGCTTGGAAAACAATGCTGCCTCTCCATGACCCTGTTCTCTGCCCTCCTTTTCGATAACAAAATTCAGCTGGCCATTTTCATTGACTCACAACATTTCACGTTCATCACAAACACCCTGAATAGCAAAATAATCACGGCGTTTACCCAGCGTCGAAGCTAACATACAATAAAGTTCAATATGGAGAATCGTAATCATGACGCGTGACCTCCTCTTTTGCACGTCACTCATGTTTACAATACGCCGTGCATCTCGCACATATCCCTACGTTAGATCATTAGAAAACGATCACAAGGGCGGGAGACGATCTAAAGATCGTGAAAAAGCTGTCGGGAGAATGTGGATCACGTGAAAATAATGAAATGAACGTGAAACGATTATGGGGCAAGGGGAAAGGGAGGTTGAGAAACACGCAGCGAACATGCACTTATAAAAAGGTTACACGACGAGCCGTTGTCCCATATCCTGGATAAAATTGGCTGCCTGCTGCCGGTAGCTCAGTTCCTTATCTGCGTCGATCCCACATCTTCTGCTCGGCGTATTTATTAGCTGTTCCTTCGTAAAGTACCATTTTTCGTCAGCCGCCATTTATCATGTACACACAACTCGGTACTAACGATGCCCACTTCACGACGGTCAGCCCGCAACGCACAACGGCAACACAATGACAAAACTTTATTTCACTACCGAAACCGGAAGTTAAGTCCCCGTTTTCTGTTCATGCCCATTTCAGTTTCTACGGGTATGTCCTATGTATTTCCACTGCATTACTCTCGATACACGAATATTTGATCTTCTCGATCACTCGATTCTGTCCCCCATTTTATTTGCATAGTGCAACTTGCGCCGTACGCGAACGCGCCATTTCAAATCACTGGAATTAGGTAGATGCACGTCCAACTTCTCAACGCTGTTTTGGAATTATGTAGTGTATACAAACAATTAACTTTAAGTATAAATTCTTCAAATGTTTAAGCTCCGTATACACGTTATACGTGTTCATGACCTGTTCACAGGTTCGTACGAAATCTCGTCATAACCTTTATGGACGTTTTATTTGTTCAATACGAAAGAACTTGTCCGTATAATAATCGTAATAACGAATGAACAGAATCAGTCCTTCGATATCCGTTGATCAATTTCTTGAAATAAAATCATGAATATTATTATTCTAACTCAGAATATAGTACGTATTAGAATAATGCCCGTACGCATTTTCCATTTTTGTATTATCGTACAGAGTTCAATCGACGAATTCTTGGCAGGCCATGAGGTTGGTTATAATCAAAACCATATCACTCTTCGAATAAAAATGAGAAATAATCCAACAGTTCCAGTTGCGAAAATAAAATAATAACTATCTTATATAATGAGGTATTAAGGTTTTGAGGTCTCGAAAAGTTCATCTGATTTCGTTTGGAAATTATATAATAACAATTAACTTGTTGTACGTTGCACAACAAGTTGCAATTCCACGGACGAACGTGGATCGCTTTGAGATAAATGTCAATTATTTGTGGCGGGTATAGTACGCATCGGTTAACGGTAAACACGCGTGCGTAACTGAGGAAACCGCGTTGACTAAGAATATGTAATGACCAACGTCACAACCTACCTGAACTTTTTCAGTCCGCGATAGGTATGAATCACGTAGTTTGTCAATTAGAAGCTCCGAGGTTTAAACTGCCGGAAGTGACGCAATCGTCTAGTAGTATGTGCACGCAGTCAATGTTTCCCCGTAAAAGCGTCCCGTTATCTTCGCCCTATCGGAGACCTGGGCGCGCGTTGCTTATTTCAACTATTTCGTTTATCCCGACACAGCTTCGAACTCACATCGCGGTCGCCAGTGTTTTATGTTTACTGATATAAATCTCTTTTTCCTTCGAAAGTGTCCAGGAGCACGTCGACGGTTACGAGCGTGAGCCACTTGGCACTGTCCTTCCTTTCTCGGAGGGTTTGATGTAAGAGATCACGGTGAGTTTATCGAAGAATTATGTCTCGCGGCTTTGTCAAGTCCCGCTCGTTTTGTCCCGTGCAGAATTTCACAAAAACCGATCACATGTCCGTCTCGTTCTTTTGAAATAAGTACATACATCAATAAGACCTCAGTCAACATCTCACATACAAAATGGTGGCGAGTTACCACTTGTTACAAATGCGCGTTGAATTGTAATTTCACTTTAAAAACTACTTAAATATCTTCTTCTCGTCCGATTCCATAAATTTCATTTAATTTTTTACGTACGACGTATCGTTTCATCTATTAATTATTTCCAATTGCCAAAAAACTGAAGAAGTTACCTTGACTTCCGCGCAAGTTCTAGCGGTAAATTTGATTTACTCTGTCCCCAGACGAGTTATGTTTCGTATCCCAAAAACAACAATGCCTACTATGACTACTACACCTACGAAAAAGCCAAAGCAAACGCAAACTTGCACGTACTCGTCTTACGAATGTACACAATCCTGTCTCGAGGGGTTTAATTATTGCGCCAAGCATATTCTCGAGGATCCGAATGCTCCTTACAAAGAATGCGGCTTTTTATATAATACTAATGGCAGGAAATGCCAAAATCCTGCACCAAAGTTGGACAGAAGAGATATCTCGTACGTACTGGAATTAAACTCGACTGAATTGTCTATTAATTATACTTGTTAATAATAGAAAATTCATGTTAACAGTTATTGCACTGAACATGCGAGGAAGGCTCAAGTAGCACGTATAAAGTCAACTGCGAGACATTCTCTGCCCCAGACACCAGAAATGCTTTTGCTTAATTTAAGTCACTACGTTAAGAAAACAGATTCCAGTACAGAAGATACAGAGGACGAAGAAGGAAAAGCGAGAGCATTAGATCCTTTCAGTAAGTTCGCATTCAAATTCATTGACCAAGCTGCTTCAGATTACATAATTATTTTATGCTAATTTCAGCTGAGGTCGATGCACACAGAGTAAATGCGAGCGGGTGTGAGATCTTGGATTATGCCAGTTCCTCTGATAGCGACGTTGAACCCACAACAGTGAGCGAAGCTTTGAGAGGAAGTTACTTGGACGACAGCGATAACGAAAGCTTGTACAGCGCGCAAGAGGATCCTTTAAAGTAAGAATATATTTATATATAATTATACAGATGCCTTACGATCCTCTACTACCAGACTTCCTTCACCTAGTGCTAGTTGCTTCGGCTTGAGCAAGTCTTAAAGGTGCCCTCGACCATGCTTATTTCATTTTTGTAGTCGCTTTTCGCAAGAACAAGACAGTAATTTCTACTGAATCATCAGCATTAATTTTTTAAGGCATGCTGGCATTTTCACCGCCGAGGAGGTGATCTACATAGCGAGGGAAAAACTTATCAGGTTGCAATCGCTTTACATAGATCAGTTCAGAAGACTGCAATATGTGTTGAGGGAGAAAAGACGAAAGTATTTACACGCGCTTAAAAAGGAAAAGGAAACGTTGTGCAGTATACACGATCAACCAAAGGAATCTGCAAAAGAGAAGAAGATCTATGAGAAGTTAAAAGCGTTAAACCGATATCATAGGAGAAGCGGAGTTGAAAGTATATTGTACCGTAAATCGTTGGAACGAAGGGCGCAGGTAATTGAGTTTTACATCGAAATACGAGAAATTGAAATACATAAAACTGAAATTTTATACGCGTTATAGACATCCGAAGGAGCTACGCAAAAAATACCAAGCATATCAAAGTGTATATTCACGGAAGGCGGAGTAAAATGTGGAGAGAAGACTCTTCCTGCTGCGAAACATTGCCGGAAGCACATCCTTAAAGTAAGAAATAATGTTAGTAGAAATAAAATTATGTCGCAAGTGATTGTTTCTAATTCGTTCTGCTAATAGGATCAGCATCAAGTATTGTTCAAAGCGTGTGGCGCGGTACGAGCAGATATCGAGTGTCACGAACCGGTCCCTGTGATTTTCGATACAAACTGCGTGTTTCATATGAATTTACCGCCCGAATGCAAGTTGGAACCGATGAAAGTAAATATTTGTAGAATAGCAACGTTTTATCTCATTATCATTCGCAGTGATTGACCAAGTCTGTTCTTATCAGTTTAAGGAAGTTAAACCTGAAATCCAGGAAACGTCGGTAACGGATAATCAATCTATGGAGATCGATGTAGTGGGCGAGATTCAGGAAATCGATCCTGACGATGACATGGCGGGATTGATGAGGGAAATGAGCGATGCTGCTCATATGAAACCAGCGTTTAATGACAGTTTGAACAGCGAAGCCAGTACGGACACAGCGTTCAGCCTGTCGGCACAGATGAGTGATAAAGACGACATCGTCTCCGTGTGACGAACTCTCTGCAACTTCAAATTATTAAAAAGTATTCATGGTCGCTGTTACATAATTATATTATTTTTATTTGTACAAAGTAACGCGATCTAACAATTGGTGTTTATAAATTCTGTTCGACAAGTGCCTACACGCTGAGTAGTGTAGGAATATTCATGTACATACGAATACCGAACCACTCTTCTCATTTGTAAATACATATTTCATTTTCTCTTCGTTATTTAAGAATAAAGAAAAGACTCACCTTCTTATTTGCTTGTTTTATTTCTCGACATTTCAAATTAGAATAGATTCACGAAAATTAGGAAAGCGACGACTGAAACTTATCGGGTCACAATAACGTGGGAATGGGTTATAAAGAAACTAACGTTTGTACTTAGCATCTGAAATCTTTACAAAGAGCACAAATCATTTAGTCAAATACATTAGTATCAATGCAAGATGTAATTTAAGAAAGTATCTCGCTTACAAGAATATAACGCTTTTTTTCAATTTTTACATTTTTTCTGTAAAAAAATACATTATTATTGATGGTGACATTAATTATTTAACATACAAATAAAATAAATACCGTAAGTAACTTACAATAAGTAGAGATGAGGTTCTTACCATAATAGTGTGGTAGCCTAAACAGTATATCTTTTAAGTGATAGAAAAGTGCATAGTACACACATGTGAAAGTGCCTCAGAGCAGTGTACCATAATAAATGCAGTAAGTAAAATAGTACAACATCGAATAAATTTTGTAAAACATTTTTCAGCAACGAAATTCTCTTCATCTGACTCCCATTTTTTATTTAAGCAAAGCTAAACGTTAATCATTATCTTACGACATGCAGATATGTACATACGATAGTAACACCAATTAGGAAATTGGTAATTACTGTGGCAGTGTAAGAGTAAACTAAATAGTTTCTTTATCATATATCCAATCAATAAAAATGTTCTGTCGCCTCTGAATCTATATTTAGTAAAATTATTTTATGCACAAGCGCATCTATACTTACAGAAACTAGAATATGCTGTGGCATTATCATCTTATTTGGTAGCTTGTTAGTAACTCAAACACAAACTTTTATATATATATATGTATGTACTTTCTTTATAGTATATCATTTAACTATTTAAGACTTTGTGCTAAAATGCAAAATGATTATTATAAAATAAGTTGAAAGAAATAAGCACCAAAGTTTCATGAAACGAAACTAAAATGCATTTGTATGATTGATAAAAGTCTCGTTTGTTTTAATTCGATATTGACTCGATACCAGCTTTTGATCTTACAATTCGCCTAACGTATATCCAGTTTAGTTTAAAATTACCCTAAAGCATACAGAGCACTTCATCAAGTTCAATAATACATTTGTGATAAAATTACACGTTACACCGATTCAATTATAAAGTATTTATTTCAAGCAGTATTTATCTAAATTATTGTATATCAAAATAAAGATTGATGCTCTTAAATATATCACAATTAAACTTGGGCACTGATATATCGATACCTAACAATCGAATTGCAAAATATTCAAATCTGAATTCAAATCCCAATTGTTTTAATCTTGTTCAAAGAACGTAATCTCTCCTTTTTCTTCAATAAGCATACTCGAAATATTGTCGTTGTACTTGAATTATCTAATTTCTTTTCGAATCGTCATCATCATTTACTCTTGTGCACGGAATATCTACCCTTAACATCGTAAAACATTTATTGCATCGTAGTACCTTCTTCAAGTTCCTTTTAACAACAAACTATATGATTACCGATGAGAACCTTACAATAAACAGTACGAACAAGGAAAAGCAAATCGTTTACATCATAATAACAGTGAATATTATTTCGGTAAGAATGCACAGTCAAAGTTTTATTGATCCGGATCTTGACTGTAAATATATATATATATATATATATATATATCTATATAGGAAGTACTGCAAGCTTACCGTCGTTCAAAAAATCGTCAGTCTTTGTAAGTTTAATCACTGAATATATTCTTAAGATCGTGTTCGTAGAGCGCTATAACTAACATAATTCCAAGGCCACACGACAGCCCCAACCCTTGTAAAATACACTGCCAGTGAGAGCTACGCTCGACAGAATGACTCGAAGTTAATTCTGGAATCTGCATAGAACATTTCCCAATTAAGTACATCTAAGATTAATTAGATCGATTGAGAAACTTGGCGTACTCACCATATCGACTAATGCTATATATATAAACATCCCTGCGGCAGCTGCAAACAGCCAACTGCTTATTGCCGGAGTACTCCCTAGTAGTACACCAAATATCATACCGAAGAAACATAGTACAGAAGATAACAGATTATAAAAAACTGCTTGTTTAGCGCTCATACCGGCTTTCAACAAAACCGCGAAATCTCCTGTTAACAAAAGCAAAAATTGAAATATTGATTCTAAAAGACTCGAGGGTATTGTATATATTGCTTGAAATGTACCTATTTCATGAGGTAATTCGTGGCAAAATACAGCTATTGCGGTGGAAAAGCCACCCGCTATATTCGCTGAAAAAGCAGCACCTATAGCCATGCCATCCGTAAAGTTGTGCAAACCATCGCCCATTATCACCATCCAAGCGACGCTTGACATGGACTCGGGCGCAGAATGAACATGACCTGAATCAAATCGTTAATTCGTACCGTATCGGCGTCTTTCGTATCTTAATGTGTTTGAATTGATGAGTTAAGTAATACCATGAGAATGGGTATGGCCGTGATGCTTCGTTTCGTGTTCACGTATGATCACGGTATAACTCTCGGCTTCGTTCAATGGTATATCGGCACCATCCGCATTTTTCTTCGTATTCACAATCGAGTCGTCGAGCCTCCAGTCTTCGTTCGATTTCTTTTCTACATCGTTCGTCATAATCTTGGAAACCGAATGACAATTTGACGTCAACGGTTTCTCTTCTTCGATCACAGGAGGCCTTTCGTGATTGTTATGCTGACGATTATGATGATTATCTGAATAATAAAGATCCTTGTCAATGTACCACAGAAATATGTAAACCGTTAGACTATGACTAAATCGAAATAATCTACCTTGGACGTCTGCGTTGATTTCTCCATAACAGTATGGATACGACGAATATTTGTGTTTGCAAAGTTTCTCTCCCACGACATTACTATTTGGTCCATCCGTTTCTCTCATTACTCTAACGCGCGACGGAAGCTAAAGTAATGTAAAAATGTGCTTTTATTTACACTTTGCAATTACACTTAAACATCGCGAATTACCTTGTTACGTCGTTGCCGGATTTTTCTCCATTCGGCTAACACCGTTAAAGCTTTCTCCGTAAAGAAAAATAATACAAGACCCATCATTGCAACTACTCCTTTCCACATATTAATATTATGTTGTTCTCTATGATCTAATTCGGTGTGCTCGCTTTCGCCGTGATCATGATCATGATCATGATCGTTCGACGTCATAGCCTGAAGAGGAAAGATGAATTGTATACGAGGACGTAATATTATTTCGTTGCATCGACCAGTATGTCTTACGTGTGGTAAAAGGTGTATAAGGGCATCACCGCATAACGTTCCTACGGCAAGAGCGACTAGGAACTGCAGTAATTGATGATAATAAACCTTACCCATACAGGGTATCACTGCTACCCCGAGTAAACCACATAGACTAATTATGAGAATACTGATCGTTGAATAGGCCCATACTGAACAGAAAGATAATGCAATTAAAACTTCGATTACAATACTTTCCATGTACATCCCGTTATCGTGATACCTTGGATCATGTTACGAGTAATATCTTCGGCATGATACTTGGTAATCGTTATTGGCTTGTAATTTTCTGGCACGCGAATGCACCCGTTTCTCTCTGAGCTCGATTCACCTGCTAATTGATAAACGAGCGCCGGGCATACGCGATCGAAGACCCAACTGGGTAATGTCGAATTCCCATTAGAGATCGAATTATATGGCAAGTCTCTCGCAACGGTCGTTAACAATTCCTTACTGCTTAAGCACTGAAATTTCGAGGGAGTCAAAGAAAATGTTTTACGAAATAATTTGTAATCAATCTTACCCGTTCTTTCTTGACACCATTTTCGTATTCTGGTAGGCCATTATTTTGCAAGCTTTTCGTCTTGTCTGGAAATAAATTATATAAAAAAACAGACGTGACTTTAAGAAAGTAATATTGTACTGCGGAGACGTATGGAATTCCATTCCAAACAAAAATTGTATAATATGCAGTTGGTGATAGCAGAAAAATGTCAGCTATCTATTCGAGTATAACGTTACACAAGATATGATTATTTAACTACTGATATTTCATGCAATCGACCACTGTGTATCAAATTTTGTTTGTTCATTCATATACACAAAGAAGGAATTTAACTGGTTATTTCTTTTATGCTCACAAATACGATTGAATTAGCAATTATTTAAAATATAATGAGAATGAAAAGTTTTAATCAAGTATTCTGTGAAATCAACCAGTAACTTTGTGGGTCAATTGAAAAGGAATTTGAACTCTCAAGCTAAATTATTATTACCAAGACCATTCTCATGTTGAATTAAATCAAAATTGGCCGTAGTGCGCATGTAGCTTTGTCTCTAATTATGATTGATAGGTTCGTAATTGGTAATTAAAAATAATCCATCGACAATAACTGTATGTTATTTGCCACAATTTAAAAGCAAGTTCAACTTTGAATTAATCAGTTCTCGATCTATCGAATAAATAAGTTAATAAACTTACCCAACGGTTTTTCATGCTGACTAGTAACAATATTATGATTTTCTAAGTCCGACATATCTGTTAATAACCTTAACAATCCCAGCTTCTTTAACAGCTTTTCGAAACCTTCCATCGTTATGCTTGTACCATCCCCGTATGTTTCGAAGATCTTCTTCATGAAATACTTTTCATCCATGACATTTACGTCCCTCCTTATCCTAATCTTATTCAGAGATTCTTGGCCATCTTCAATTTCCTCTGCGCTCAATTCATTCTTATACATAATCTTAAGCTCGCTTAATCTATCTAGTACTTTCCTGTTCTTCAAAATAATAGATTCTTCCTCTGCTAATGGCTTATCGTCATCTTGGACATCGTGCTTTACATTTTCTGACTTTGTTTCATTGAGATGAACATCGTCCGTAATGACCGGCTTCAACAAAGTAGTTCTCTTTAAACTATTATCTAACACATTAGAAAGCTTGACAGCACCATTATTTTCCGGGCCTATGTTATCCGACTGGGATTTCCTCCCATCCTTCTCCAGTGTTTCTTTGAATTTGATTAGTAACCAGGATGGTTGTAATTGTTCGTTTGAATCTGGCAGTTTTTCAGGATTAATAGAAAAGCTAGTTGTCTGTCCGTTTGTCGAGAATTCAGCGTGTGCTGAACACGGTGTATGAGCAGCACATAATACACAAACTACACAAACTGTGACAAAATGATGTGACATGTTGCATATATCTTCTGTAAAACAAAATAAAAAATCTTTATGCTTATTTAACCAGGAACATAATCATGTTCAGAAATAATCAAAAGACTGACAAGGCTGAAACGTGGGAAGTAGTTATCTATACAACAATTATGAAGATAACGAATCCAATTAAGTCTAGAAATATCATAGAATTTCATGTGGAAAATCACACATTCTTCAATTTATAACGCAATCAGTTGCATTCAAATTTCATTTCTTCTTTCTAGCTTATAGAATCAACATATTATTTACTGATCGTAGTTATCTATGATATAGATAAAGATTAACGTAATGGAAAACAATCGATCTAAAACGGTCTTATGATTAATTCTATTCCATATTAAAATAAAACGTTACTCATTTGCCAAATATAACTTGTACAATTGTAAGAATTCACAGAATAGAATAGATTCGAGTCATTCAACCAAACTGTTATCATGTACTTACTTATTTATAGTTAATGAACGTTTCACATTTGCAGTTACAATCTCGCGAACATTTTCATTTCACTTGTTTGCAACGTAATATTACGGAAAAAAACGCGGAAAACCATTTACATGTATGTACGTATCTTTTTTACAAGTTATCGTATCAGCAACGATATCTATACATAATTAACGTACAGAATTCGTAGCGTAGTGTTTCCCGTTTCGAGCGTGTATTAAAATTCATCGCCGATCAACTCCTCGCGCTACCATTTAAGTCGAATGCAGACGGGTCGCAAGAATGCATAACAATAAAACACTGGCAGCTTCCACTCGGTATGGAAGTTTCAATCAGCCAATACAAACAACTATTTAATCGCAACGCACAGCGAAACGCATGATGCAGCGATAAGCGAAAAGGCGCGCATTTTATCACATGAATAGACGTAAACGATCGAGGATCCGCGCACGCCGTGTCGCGTCCGAAATAGTCAAGGTGTTCAACGTTGCGGTGGCACCGTCAAAAACCGTATTTTTAGCTGTCAAAAAGAGAGGACGAGATTCGTAGGTGCCCCCCTCGCCCTGCCTAGCGTCCAGACCCGGGTCCATGACAGAATTTAGAAACTCAGGTTAGAAACGCGGCCCCCAGCTTTACCAGAAAAAGAACGACGTGACAACGTCCTCGCTCGGGACCCGGCCGTCTCGCGTCAGCGTGCGATACCGTCGGCCGGCCGTCGGATTAAACTAGGAAACCATGCTGTCATGTAATTACCTTTACTTGGTCAACGAAACGAAATTCCCGCTAGGAAATGGCATATGCTAATTGATCGAGACGCGCTCACCAGCCTGCGGAAACCTCGCGAAGTCCCACGTCCCGCTTCAAACACTCGCAAGAGAAACTCTCTCCTCTATACGCTAATCCTATCTGTTCCCTTCTTCCCTCCTCGACCAACCGCCTGCCAACCGCCGAACACCGACTCCAATCTCCACCGCGTGCAACAAGTATACTCTGAACATAGCTGACTGTTAACATCAGCCTTCGACACCAGTGCTGTAAGTCTGAGGAATTTCAAATCCTGCATCAAGAATAGTGAAATTCAGATTTTAGTTACAAAAAGATTTGAGGAATTCTTTTCTCACTACTCCTAAACGACTGCAGGGTATTGCTATATAAATATAACATGAGCATGATTACGACTCCAAATTAATATATTTTAAATTTCAGTCAGGAGCGTAATCGCTCTACCTCCATGCTTTGCCTAAGCTGCTAAGCAACTACCACCAGTCACCACTCTGCATTTTTCCCATTTAACATTCATACGGGAATAGAGAACATTCAGGAATGGACATCATTAAACTATGAACAAATAAAACCATATCGTTCGTCAGTTTGAACATAAGAATCACATATCTTTATTAGATAAAAATATTAAAGAAAATGATTTAATCTTCTTCTTCCTCTGGAGCAGCTCCTCCACTGCCCTTGCGGAGGTTCTTCCTCTTAACACGGCCAGGTCTGCCACCGCCGAATGGCGATTTCACAGAGAAGTCAATGTGCTTCTGCGAATCCAATCTTACAATGAAAGATGGAATATTCACCACTTGTTTGCGCACTCTGAAACAGTAGAATTGTCTATGCTTTCTCCATTCTTTGTAGTGTTCATGTATCGTGTAAGCCTATATGTACCAATTATTTTTAATATGAATACGCGTCCACGACAGACGTTAAGTGCCCATTCATGGACACTTAAGTGGCCTGTCTGAAAGAAAACGTTAGCAGATTCTTGAGCATCATAGTTGCCCAGCATTAAAATCATTTCTCAATGATTCTGAAGGCACAATCAGTCAGGAAAACTGTTTGAATACCTGCAGTAGCCAAGAGACTATTACTTTAAATATCGTGCTTTATAAAAAAGAACAAATCAAGCATTGTCTCCAGGAATGAAACCAGATAAATATAGAAATTCATCTGGTGATTAGCCAGGAGTTTAATCTAGCCTTAAAGATTAGAAACAATCTGCATATGATCAGATATTTCCTGCCCAGATATTTAAGGCATGCCGAGAATAGTATGTTGAGCATAAAATTTACCTAATGTGTCTCTGACGAATAAGTACGCGTGCATGATGGATAGATTTGGCAAGTCCCAGTTTGAATACTTGAGTCTGAAGTCTCCTTTCCAAGAAATCTTCAATTTTCAAACCGAGAACGTAATCGAGTTTCATGCGACTCTCATCTAACACTCCAATTCTCACCAGTCGACGTAAAAGAGCATTTCCTAACAGAATTACAAATATTAGTCATTATAAAATCAATATCTTTCGCTTGAGTATTAAGTGTATCATTATCTCAGTATGATCGTATCGTCAAAATAATCGGACAAGAAGTGTCAGAAAAGATTATTTTTATATCAATATCATCATAATCATCTGCACAAGCAAATTCATAATCATTTACATAAAATATACCTTCGAATAAACGCTTAGGATCCTTCTCTTCCAAAGTCAACAGCTCACGAGCGGCTTTACGTATATTTGCCAAAGTGTACTTGACTCTCCAGACTTCGCGTTTATTACGAAGACCGTATTCACCGATAATTCGTAATTCTTGATCCAAGCGAGCCTTTTCATAAGGCCTCCTTGGAGTAACGTAGGTTTTCGAGAAAACTGACGGTATCCTTCCGTTCACCATCTTGTACAGCCGTTATCTATCGCATGAACACGTTTTATAAAAATTATTAATAAGAACACGTGTGTGTGTTCTTGGATACATAAAATAACTGTAATTTGGCAATACTAATTTGATAAATAATATTTAAACTCTTTTTCTACCACGTGTTGGGAAACGTTAGCACGTGTGAGCGATACATTTCGAAGATCAATTATTAGTAAAGTTTTAAAACAAAGTATATACGAAAACCGTAGAATATCGTGTTTCGATCGAAATGATGATGATATTACAAGATTTATGAATGAATATTGTACCTTACACAGCTCTGCAAGAATAACGACTACACCACGTTCCGAACGAAGTGGAAATGGCCGAGATCGAAGCGGATCTCGCAATTCTAGCGAACGCAGCGCTTAAACAGGAATTCCTGTTTGCTTCACGTAGCGGGCTTTTTTAAGCGATCTATCTATATAGATTTTCATTTAAGCGCGTAGAAATAATATATAGAAGAATACAATGTACTCTATTTAATAATAAAATACAGACAAGATTGATTAAAAATATCCGTGGCTATCCTAAATTAATCTGTACAAATTTTTCGATTCGTCTGTTCGTAGTTCCATACTGTATTGGAAAATTTCTTTACAAATGTAACAAATAAAGTTGTGAAATCCACGTTGATGTGTTGTCCTCGATTCTCAATTAAAAAATGTTGATTTGCAACTTATTGCAGCCAAGTTGCGTTATAACGTTGCGTTATTGTTTAAACGCGATTATGTACGTACTTATCTTCGACGTTGATATTGATGACAAATATACTATTTCGATACCATGTATTATTCATACCACAGAGAGGTATGAATTTCATCAATCTCGTGATATTTTTATGGAATTTTAAGTTTATTGTTGCTCAAGATTTATCTGCACTTTTGCTACATACATATTACACACACAGTGCAACTATGAGAATTCATCATGACTAATGTAACATAAACGATTGCATTATTATCAATGAGATGATCTATTGTGTGTATTTAGAATGATAAAGCTTTAATTGTCCTTTATCTTTGAACTTCGTGGCTCTAACCTAACGATCTCTTTCCTACGACTTCTTTTGTAATTCTACGTACATATAATAATTTATATAAAAATTTAATTTATAGATGTTGCTATCGTATCAAAAAGAACATAAACACGCGTGTATATCGGTTAGTATCTTACAAAATCTGAAATAATGTATGTACTGTGACTCACGTTTGTTATTAAGTCACGTTTAAATCACGTTTCAGTTTGATTTGATATTTTTGGATTTTTTGTCGGAGGATTGATATGCAGGGTTATTCTACTGACCCTGAACGAAATCAAACACAGATAGAGGAAGATGTAAGTTTCGCAATTCTAGCGAACGCAGCGCTTAAACAGGAATTCCTGTTTGCTTCACGTAGCGGGCTTTTTTAAGCGATCTATCTATATAGATTTTCATTTAAGCGCGTAGAAATAATATATAGAAGAATACAATGTACTCTATTTAATAATAAAATACAGACAAGATTGATTAAAAATATCCGTGGCTATCCTAAATTAATCTGTACAAATTTTTCGATTCGTCTGTTCGTAGTTCCATACTGTATTGGAAAATTTCTTTACAAATGTAACAAATAAAGTTGTGAAATCCACGTTGATGTGTTGTCCTCGATTCTCAATTAAAAAATGTTGATTTGCAACTTATTGCAGCCAAGTTGCGTTATAACGTTGCGTTATTGTTTAAACGCGATTATGTACGTACTTATCTTCGACGTTGATATTGATGACAAATATACTATTTCGATACCATGTATTATTCATACCACAGAGAGGTATGAATTTCATCAATCTCGTGATATTTTTATGGAATTTTAAGTTTATTGTTGCTCAAGATTTATCTGCACTTTTGCTACATACATATTACACACACAGTGCAACTATGAGAATTCATCATGACTAATGTAACATAAACGATTGCATTATTATCAATGAGATGATCTATTGTGTGTATTTAGAATGATAAAGCTTTAATTGTCCTTTATCTTTGAACTTCGTGGCTCTAACCTAACGATCTCTTTCCTACGACTTCTTTTGTAATTCTACGTACATATAATAATTTATATAAAAATTTAATTTATAGATGTTGCTATCGTATCAAAAAGAACATAAACACGCGTGTATATCGGTTAGTATCTTACAAAATCTGAAATAATGTATGTACTGTGACTCACGTTTGTTATTAAGTCACGTTTAAATCACGTTTCAGTTTGATTTGATATTTTTGGATTTTTTGTCGGAGGATTGATATGCAGGGTTATTCTACTGACCCTGAACGAAATCAAACACAGATAGAGGAAGATGTAAGTAGCAGTCACGTTTTCCACACACTCAGTATCTCGTGAGGATACATCAAGACAACTATTTTCCTTCAGTTCTGTCACTCGTGTCACATTCAGAATCAGTACAAGTTTCACTTAATTTTTCAAGCTCTCAATAAACTTGTATCATGGAGGCATTGGGAACTGTAAGTAACCCAGCCTTCCTTATTTTCAAATATAAGATCTTTAGATCTTTTTATACTTAAAATATAAAGACTTGGTCGAGTTTTCCCAATTGCTATTCTGTACTAGAAAATATATATTCAATTCTGTCGTTTGTATTGATAGCTATTTATTAATAAAAGAACGTATTTCAGTAAAATTTTCTCATTTTTTTCATAAACAATTTATGTGGAACACTATCTATCATTTAGAATCTCACCTTATTTAGTTTCGTTATAATCAAGTATTATACCCCAAAATTCTAGCACTGAAAAAGAAAAAGAATTA